CAGGTCACCTCGTCATAAAAGGAGGTAAGATGGGAGAGGACATGACGGGACAGGAGAGGAAATGACACGTGGGCCGTGACAGTGCCCATCCATCACCCCTCATCCCTGATGTGTCCCAAGTGCACAGCACCCCTCAGCAGCACCCACTCTGCTGGGGCTGGGGAGTGATGTCTGGCAGACACTGGATTTGACCCTGAAGAGCTGTGTCCTTGCTTCCTTTCACCGTGTCACCAGCTGCTACCCCCAAATTACAGTGGGGGTTGCTCCCTGGCCAGTGGCTGCCAAGAGCCACCAGGCTCCCTCACATCTGGGAGCTGCGTTCCCTGCCCAGGACTCCAGCTGCCTGCACAGACAGCGTGGTGACGTTTACACGGGTATATCCAGGGGTCAAGGGTTTCAACTGGCCTACATCAGCCTTGGAAAGGATCCTGTGCTGCGTTACCTTTTCTGCAGTTCTTTGTTCACCGAGTCCATCTCAGAGGCTCTCCTGAACATCTCGTCCTGCAGCCAGTATCCATGGTTACCGGGCACCAGCATCTCGGCGCGGGGAGGCAGCTCTTTGCGGTTGCAGCGCTGGTACACAGTGACAAGCCTCCGCAGTCTGGCTGTGAGGGCAGATGAGACAGGCCAGCAGGATCTGTCTGAGTCGGAGCCATCCTGGGCTTCAAACATCAGCAAGGACATTAGTATTTAATGCACACTCAAAGCCACAGGTTCCCACCAGCTCCAAGGGCACCCTCCTGCCTTCCCTCTCCCAAGGGGGACACCAGACATCACAGTCATGAGTGGAGGGCTGTGGTGACCATTCCTGGGCCTCTACACCCAAAAAGCTGCTGGCTCACAGCCTCACCAAGTCTGAGATTCCTTCAGACAGAGCCCAGAGGCAGAGCTGGGGAAGGGATGACGGCTCTGGGCCAGGCCACGCACAGGAAAGGACTGTGGCTCCCTGTCCAGCAGCAGGGCCGGCCAGCCCATGGCATCTGCCAGCACTGCCCACCGCAGAGACCCTGCGCTCATCTCACGCAGGCAGCCGCAAGGACAAGGGCAGGCTAACGGCTTCTGGTCACCCCCAGAAACTCTTTTCTGACCCTGGCTGCCCTGTTACGAGGCCCATCCCCAGGTCACAGGTGACTTTGCATGAGAGGGTCCCTGACAGCAGCCTCCCCAGGTCAGGGACCCTCACCCACTCGCACAGAGCAGGGCAGTGCCCCAGCTCCGGTTGTGCCGTGCCAGCCCCTGGGAAGCCATGGGCTGCGCTGCGGGAGATACAGCCTCACCTGCCACAAACGCTCCCCGCTGCCGCCCCCCCCCCCAGCAGCCACAATGTCCTGCAGAAGGAAACCATCAGAGACGGCTCTCCAGCCTCACACAACATGCCCCGTGCCCGCAGCCCGCCCAGCCCTGGCAGGGTACGGGGTGGCAGGATGGGCAGGCGTCCTACGCCCTCAGGCTGGAGTTGAAGGCTGCCGTCAGCACACGGGGGACAGGGGTGGTGACAGCTGAGGGGCAGTGCTGTGCCCTGTGGGCCTCGAGGGGAGATGCACCACAGGGACACAGCCTGTAGTGCTGCTGCCCAGGACAGCAGCAGTGCGACAGCCCAACTGCTCAGACAACCCCGTGCCCTCCCACGCTGCTTTGTTCACCGCTCTTGCT